GACGTTGGTACGAGTAGGTTAGTCTACAAACGTCGCCTAAAGTAATTGATTTTACCCGGCAGAACGAAAGAAGGAAACTCCGCTTTTCAGTTGTCTCAGGCGATTGATTTTTGACAAACAATGACCTTTCAGAGGTCAAATTGCTGTCAAGAATATGAATTGGCTGCTTCGCAGCAACAAGTTACTATTTTGTTACTATTACTGGTGATATGTTGTGGTAGAAACTTTTGTGAGATAGTTTTGCAGTGGAAAGAGTCAGGGTGGAACTTCTTTCACCAGTGTCAGAATATAGTTATCAAAAAGATCATTAAATCCAGCTTCTATCGTCCCGCCCTCATTCATTTGTAATTTATGTCATAGAGGCAGAATCAGATACAACTGCTCGAGATCTTAGTCTTAACATCATGGAGGCTTATACATGCAGTATGTTGTTTCTATTGGTAATATGATTAATGTCTGCTCAATATGCTTGGACAGCTGGTTGATAAAGACAACAGTGTGTTTTTAGGGATAACTTATAATAGACTGATAATATAGTGTGATTAATATTATATTAGCTGCTTATCATTTCACATCATGCTTTGTAATAGACATTGTATGTTTGTTTGCAGGGACACTTGTTCATAATTGGACCAGAGGGCAACAGAATTTGTGAGGGAAATCTGGGAAGTCCTTTGGGAGTGCCTTTGTTCTGCCTTGGAAATACAGCACACCTGTATATCTATCAATGGAAAATCTTAACCATTATCAAATACAATGATCAAGATGGGAAGGAAGGTTAAAAAATGGGGAATGATAAAGGAGAAAAGAGATAACAGACAGGGAGTGGAGTTGAATAGCTCAGTGGTTAAGGTGCTTGCCTTCTGATCCCAGGGTCCTGGGTTCAATTCCTGTGACAACAGGACTTTTTCTCACGTCTAAGATCAACTTCACTCCCTAAGCCTCATAAAGGGACTTAGTTTATAAAGTATCATCCTCATCCTGTAAGTGGTGAGTGTACTTGCTGTTGGATGTGAAGGAAATAAAAAAATAAAAAAAAAAAATGAAAACTAACACAACATATAATAATCGTGTAACGGTCTGACAAGACCATTAGTGAGCAAATTGTGCCACAAACCACATTCAGCTCGACAGCATTTTTGTTGCGGCCCATGAAAATATATTTTAAACACAGTGTGTAATGATCCACCTACATTTTTTGGTTAGTAAACCCTTTGTTGTTAGAGCCCAAAGCTGACCCTCTGTAAAAAAGGTTTTAAAAAAAGAGTATAAAGCAGTATAAAAGCAGTGCATTGAGGTTTTTGCAAGCACACTGGAAACATGAAATATTTACTATTTATAATAAAATTTTAAGCCAATTCAAAAAAATAAAGTAGTTTATCGTCCTAATATTTGGAAAAAAAAAAGAGAGAATTGCAGGCATATTTTTTTTTACTTTCCCACTTTTACCAAGTAGACACGTTGAAAGCAAATAAAGATGCACTAGACATGATTCATACCATATGTACAGTATCCTCAATCACAAATGATCGAGAGAGGAATTTTACTGATGTGAGTTTCATTTAGTAAATTCAAGGAAATTTTTTTTTAAATAAATAAATTTGGCGAGACAGAAAATTTCTCACAGAAAATATGATAGTATCATAAAATATCAAACCCTCCCCCAGCTCAGGCATAATTCCTTATCTCACTTAGCTCCCCTTCGGACAGCGTAGCTTCTCCCCTTTCCCACCCAGAAAACATGTCCTACAGCCGCCACTGCTATCTGTTGCAAAATGGGAAGGAGGAGGTAGAAATTCTAAAATTAAAAAAAAAAACATTAAATTCTTCATTTAAAAAGATCAAGTTATATATTTCCCACTAAACACAGATTGGAAGAAAAGATATCAGTTTTTTCTAATGTCCAGATAATTTATTTATATTTATATATTCCTCAAATTGATTACCAGCCAATATAAGTATGCAAACAATATGTTCATTGGCTAGTCACAGACAGTATATCACTAACACTTGAGCCAGTATGCCACACATAACATTATCATTGTACAGTATAGTGACTGTTTGGACAGCTGGTTAATAAGTACAATTGCATTGCGTTTAAGGGATAAACTATATAATGGACGGTAAATGATAAAGTGTGATTAAATGTATTAACTGTCCATTTGATTCACATCATGCATTCTATAGGATAGCCAACACTGCTATATGTCAAATAACACCCAATGGATTTCACAGGTTTTACCTCTTAATATACATGACCCTCTGAAACTAATTATGAACAAAGTATATAAATATGTATATAGGCCTATATTGTTCATCCTCATTGGCAGCTTAATCTCAGTAGACCATGTTCTATGCACCCACTGAGAGGGATTATGCACAAAAATTCTCACTAATTTTTTTCCTAACAAAAGTGCCTATTTTTAGTAATTATTGATCGTTTCTTCATCAACATTTTTGTAAACAATTTAATATGATATTGTTATTATTGTTATACAGTTAAACTTGCCTAAGTCAAATCCAAAATTACATTAAAAAATTGTTCGAAATCATAGATAAAATTTGACTTACAGATTGTTAAATTAATGGAAAACACAACGATTTGGCATATGAAATAGAATCATCGACTTGGAAATTATTTGAGTTAAGCAATAAGTTAAGTAATATTAACTGTAGTTATGAATATGCAGATAGTCATAAACTTTTGATATTGCATGCACCTAATAATTAATTTTCCATTTTATTACTATTATAATTATTATTATTGTTATTATTATTAATATTAGTACTATTATTATTATTATTATTATTATTATCATTACTATTATTATTATCATTATTATTATTATTATTATTATTATTATTATTATCATTACTGTTATTATTATTATTTTAATACTATTATTATTATTATCATTACTATTATTATTATTTTAATTCATTCACACCGAACAGCAAGTAAAATTTTCATTTGGTCAAAAAATTGTAATCCACCGACATTACATGGTAAACAGTAGTTTACTTGTTTGTGAAATATCAAGTAGGTTTGTTTTTCCTTGCATAATAAGTTGCTATTTATAGATTTTTACCTCTTTTTATGTTGTTTGCTTTTGTATGTATTTTTATATTATAAAATAAAAATAATTTTTAAAAAGTATGATAGGCCTATGTGTAATTGTAGTTTGGCTACAATATTTTTTTTTTAATTACCCGGGAGGCATTATGACCAGGACAAACTCTCGTGATGCAATATTACTTGATGAAATTAAAACTTAGATTATTAAAAGTGACATTATTACAATGAGTAATCTAATTATCAAAAGCCTTGGTGAATAAAGGTGAAGTCGTTTATTCTGTGCTACCCTGAGACTCATCCCTTGCAATTTCCCTGCCCAAGGTCACAGCATTAATTAGCATATGCTGATATTCTTGACCTTCAAGCTTTTTGGCAACATACATGGAATGTCCGCTCTGAACGAGGATGACCCTGATATTGTGATGTTGATGGTTAAGGTCATAAGGAACTTCCCAAACTTGGCAATCTTCCTTATAGATTTCAAAAATAAATCGCCTAGAGTCCCGTCCCAATCCTAGGTTCCTCTTCCTTTGAAATCATATGCTACTACTGTATGTACTGTAGTAGGTCTTAGGGTATCAGTGTAGATATCATCATAATGGATAAGAAGGCACGCTATCGGGACTTGCTGTGGTTCGAATTCAGTTGCACTTCCTGAAAGATCAGATGTTATATTCATTGAGTTCCGTTAATGAAATTATTATACCTCCTTGCTTACCGATAGGAATCTTAATTACAGTGCTATGTATATACCGTAAAACCTCGAATAGAACCCTAATGGGCTTAATCTCGAGAAGAAGCCCATCTCGAATTGAAGCCCCTCTATAGTTTGCAGAATTTTTGCTTCAATTTAAAGGTTTTTCGGTTTTGGTGATAACGCCATCTAGAGGTCATCGTCCATCCGAAAATTTACCCACAAGAAATCTTCCAAAAAAGTTTGTCATTAGTTTCAAGTCTACTTAATAATGCTTATTGAAATTGTAATCATCGTGAGGTCCCCATCCCTCATTGGCTGTGGTAAAGCGATTACAGATGCGCGAATTCACTGACTATTAGAATGTTTTGTTCATTGTGTTCACCTCTGTGCAGTCAGAAAATATGGGGCCGTCCCATAATAGAACCTCGGCAATGAACAGATATAGCCCTAGCTATAGTTATTATTGGTCGCCTGATATATTATAAGTAAAAGATGAGATCAGATCAAATCTGTTTGATGAGTTTCGAACGTTGACTCCAATTTTCACGGAAGTTATTTAAAAAGTGAATGTTTTCAAGCGATAACGAGTAACTCATCTCACAAGGATGTACGTCTTCACATAACTGTCCTAATGGCAAGAATCACGTCGATCTTTCAATTCAAAAGTCGTTCCATTTAGTAGTCACCTCCGTGTATGACTAAACTATATTAGTAAGTTCTCGGATTGTATGTTATCAGTTTTACATTTATACAATTAATTAAGGATGTTACCTGAGGGATTGTCAGTGATTACGTCGGCGCGCGAACATTGTTTAATATGCAAATGAGGCTACGCACTTTCAGCCAATCTGGTGATGGTGAGCTCAGATTTTACGACGACAGCCTAGGACGATAGAGTCGCTAAAAAGTTGACAAAAATTTGATACATCTATCTGACAAGCACAGTTAAATAAGAAGGAAGTTTTGGCCATCGCTTTATCTCCAGTTTCCATGTTGTATTAATTGATTACGATTCCAAATCCATCTCCGACAAAGGGGAAATTGAGTCAGTGTCCGTGATTATTAAAGGGGCGAAGTCACGTGAGGATACCTAGTGATTGATGACAGGTGACAAAATGAATATGGGCTAATCTGTCGATCTGAAGGTACCGGTAGTTCGCGATTCGATCGTGAGCTATGCCGCGAAATCTTCTCATATCTTGTGAATTTAGAACATGACCATCAATCTGTTGTTTTTCTCGTCCAAAACTACTTCTGGTGTTCGTAATTTGCGTCTTTGACAAATAAATTTTAATTAGGCCTATTATAATTGCTTAATTTTACATACTGTGATTTATTAGTTACCAACGGAAATTCCCAATCACTAATGCCGGTTTTCCACTAGACGAATTTATTCCGCGCGAATCGTTGCGCATGTACATTCACATTTCTACCAGTTTCGGTTCAGCGAAATTGACATTTCGAACTGTTTCTACTTTTTGCGCATACGAAGCGAAAAATGTGCGCAACCAATCAGAGCTCAGTAACCGAGGCAGCGCCTTCGATTCGCGCGAATAAACTCGCCTAGTGGAAAACAGGCTTAAGCCCCACCCCTCGGATATTGTTGCTATGTCTTCCATGAAAACGAAAACCTAAACGAAAATACAAAAAATACAGTATATCTTATACTCTTTGAGTATATTCCTCGCCAATTAAGAGGATATTCGATATTTGCATAAACTGACCCTAATTACTTGATTGACCCTTGTTATTAATTAGTAATCAGTATAAGAATTTTTTCGTAGAAAGAGTGCCTGTAGTCTGCGAAACTGAACTGTTTCGATCGGTGTGAAATTGAGATCTCGCTAGTGTTTCAGTACAATCGCTGTACTGCGTAGTAGTCTATGAGTCGAGCGTATGGAAACCAAGCTTAATAACTTATAGGCCTATCTGTCATTTTAAATGAGCAACTATTGTTTTAATCGGTGTTTCTCGTGTGTGTGTGTGTGTGTTTTAAAGAACTACCGGTACCTCAGACCGGTTGCCTTTTTAGTATGATGAATATTTAAAAATTGGCCAAAGCCCCGTCAAAGTTTATTTGACAAAAACATGTGACATGCCTGGGGTCTTGATGACATCACGTCATGACCATATATAGATAAATCATGACTAAATATAGGTATACAACATTCTTTTTTGTAATTTGATAGTGTGGACAATCTTTAGCATAATTAACTAAATAGGCCTTATACCCACATTATTACCATATCAAATGTTGATCGGCTGAGGTGTTTCAATAATCCACAAGGGGTTGTTCATAAATATTATTTCGAAGACGAATACAGAGTCGTTGTGTAATCATATTTCGGTCCTGTTATCGCGATATACAGGTTGATGTGAAGTCGTGAAGACTTCTGCCACTTGCAAAGAAGACCTCAATTCGGATGTAGCTTTAATTGAGTTCGCATTTTGATTTATTAGGCCTACATTGAGGAGAAATGGCTGCCGTCTCCTCGCCCGTCCACGGCGCGAAGGATCATGTCATCCAGAACTTCCAAGCTCATCAATGTTGTGTACCAGTGACAGTGACATGCTTCCGGAATTTTAAAAGGTTTACACAAGCTGACGTCATACAAAACATCTTGAGCCCACATTCTATGTTTACTGGTATAGCATCATTAGCATGCCAATCCGCTTTCACATGTTCCGTAGCAAAATTTTAGGAAAAGTTCGTAGGTAGCCAGGTAGAACTCGGGAACGGATATTAAGATATTTTTGAATATTTAAAACTAGAAAAAGGGTGGTTACCTAAACAAAGAATAATCTATTTAAATATTAGATTTTATTAGCCCTAAGTATCAGTAGGCCTATTACGTGAATGTATATTTTCGTAGTGTCGACCAAAAGTATACCGCGCAACAACTGACCAATTAGAACAGGCCCATGAATGTGCGCATGACCCACTACACGTTTACGTACGTGTGTACACGCATGGTTTACGCTGTTGTTTTGTAGGACATTAATACACAAGAGGTGGGGCTTAGGAAAAAGCATCTCAATAGGCCTATCACCGCATATAAATGCCCTTATTCTTTTCAACCCCTGAACGACCCCGAAGACCAAAGAAAATAAAAATGTGTTGTTTAAAGGCGGGGAATGCATGCATTATTACGAAATGTTGATCGATTGTGTGACGAATAACAATGTTAACAAGAGTAGTTGTCGTGACATATGTAAACAAGACACAGGGTAAACGTGATTCGATTAGGGTGGTCTGGTAATACCGAAAAGGTAGACCAGGTATTGCCATATGGTGGTACTCTTCAAAGGATACCGCCTTCTTTGATTAGGAAATTTTATATTGAGTTTGTACCGCCGTCTCTGTAGTTAGGTGCTTATTTCTGATTGCATTTATAACCTAATGACGCTCGACCATATTTTATAGGAATACCGGTACTGTTCCTGGTAGTTCTAATTGTTAATGTGTTGGCCAATTATCTGTTGATGATGGTGAACTTTATACGAAGGGTTCATACTACATTATACACGCTGGGATAGGCTATTTCATTGATTCTTTAGTGTATTCTCGTATCCACACAACGATCATATACACTTATTTTTAGTAAGAACACATTTTATGCTGAATTTACTTACTAACATTAGCCTATAAGAATAAAATAAGAATTGAGGCTGAGGGAAAATGTCAAATGAGGTTTTTATTTTGTTCTAAATAGAAAAACCAAAAAATTTTCATGCACCTTATGTAGAGTGTGTGACCCCCTGTAGTACAGTAATATATGCCTACTACTGTATTTTCTATCTTTAAAAAGTCTGTAAAACTAAGAACATTTTGAGCCTGAAATCGGCAAAAAAAAAAATAAGAACCTTAAGCCTGGGCGTTATCGTTATGTGTGTATCCACACATAACGATAACACCCAAGTTCGGCTTGTGATGGTCGTAGCAGCCTCGTACGAAGCTCTTGCCACGGTATCGATATCTGCCCCATGAATTCTCCCCCAACCCCACCAAGCCAAATTCATAACGAATGCTGTTTTTCTATCTTATATTTCGTATTTTGTTTACAACTATTTTTAATTCAGTATTCACAAAATACGACACTTTTTAGTATAACAAAAGAAAACGAACCAAAAGACCTTTAAATGATGTAACACACGTGCCATACGAAAAAAAATCCTCGTGCCGGTATAACACAGACTAAATAGTCTAGACCACATTTATCTTGACTCAAACGGGATACCACAACCGGGACAAACCATTTCCTGTATTATACTGTATTTACTTATGTGTTATATAGGGCGTTACGACATGATACAGTAAAAAATAGGCAGGCACGGGTGATGACAACGTGATTGGCGATACTAATTGATAGTTTCCGTTGCAGCACCTGTGGGTTTTTAATTGTTACAGTACCATTGAACTTCAATACGGAGACCCTGCTAACACGCAACAAACGACCAAATCGGACTGTCACCCTTATCATAAGTGAACATTTAGCCGGTAGAACAGCTATAAGAATGGGAAATCGAGCTGTATGGCCGGCAAAATAAACACTTCGTTTTGGGAAAACCCCATGGGCAACAGACATTGTTATTCAATGTATTTTCATGTTTGTTCCGTTATAGTTGTGTGTAGGCCTGTGTTTACTTTTTTTTTAATGAAAGTTTGAGCAAGGAGGTGTAAAAATTATTTTTATACCTCCTTGGTTTGAGTTGATGACGTCATCTGCATAATACAGTTCCAGCCCGCCGGTTACTACTCCTATATTTGGTCACACGTGTCTTCCACCCCCAAAAAAACTGACTGCTGGTCGGCGTTTCGTCATCACGTGTTTTTGCTGAAAGTGGTTCTCGTGGGTCTCACGGCCTGCTGTTAAAGTCGCTCTGGTAACAGTACGTACTTATACGCCAAATAAACTGTGTCCAGCAGAATTTCTAGGACGACAAGGAACTCAACAAATGATTGTTTTGGTATAATGCCTTCCACAAAGGCCTATCGATCCAATACGCGAATGGATGCAGACTGGTAGGGCGGATGGTTGGATTGCAAAGTTGAGTACAGCTATCTCATCTTTCTGAGTAGACTTTATTCTTTTTTTTTATAAACTCAACAGCAAAAGTTATTTAATTGTATGATATCTATCTATAAAAAATACCAACAATTTAAGTATCCAGGTACTACAATGCTACAATGAATAAAGGAAGACAGACAAAAATATCAGAAAACCTCGTAAACCCAAATAAAATTGTGCCTACGGGCAGAAAATCCCAAAATTTAATGACCCGAGCTAAATACGTTTGTGATTAGTATACAAATTAATAATAGACCCCTTATTTATACAATGGTCGGTGCTGCTTTCAAGTACTGTATAGTTAAATATTAGTACAGTACAGTCACAGTTAGTAGTACCATGGACCTATTAATAAGGTCCATGGTAGTGTGCAGGAGTAGGCCGTCTATCGTTGGAAGTTGCAAGCTAGGAACACAAGGTCACGAGCGGAAGCAAAAATACACACTTACGTATGGTGGTGTGGGCGGGGCTAGAATTTAATTGACATTTGACCAACCGTGCCGCAGAGGCATTCGAACTATTCGCCGGTAATATATCGGCCTGATTTCCGCGTCATATTTCAAGTAGGCCTAGCAAGTCTATATCACACACGGACTACTCATCTAGCCTACTAACTGTCAAGTCCTCAAAAGGCAAGGTCTTGAACGCATTTGTAAGCCGATTGTCAACACCAACGCCAAAGAAACACGACAAGTGCGGCAGCTACGAGCTGCGCCTGTCGGTTGCTGGGATCATCGCCAAAAACAACGGATTCATATTTGTGTTTATATTCACTAGAATAGAAACTGGTCGTGCAGGAATAATACTATCGTCTGAAAACCAGCAACTTTACTTGTATATATATTTTATAATAGTTGATATTTTACTTACACAATAACACCGGGACATATCACCACCATGACGTCACAGGAGGGTACACAGCTACTTGTTCCCCCTCCCAATAAGGATGAAGAAGATTCGTCAGAAGCGCTTAATAAGCTCAAATTCCACACTAAAAAAATGAACTGGAACTTAAAAATATTGAAAGACCAGTTGGTAAGTAAAACATTTCGATTTCCTACAATATATATATATATATATATATATCTGTATATATATATATATATATATATATATATATATCTGTATATATATCTGTATATATCAATACAGTGCCAGTACTTTCGCTTCCAGTCAGTCTCGATATGGTTTTTCTGTGATTTAATTAAGTATCATTTAGTGTGATTAATGTAAACTTTCTTTACTAATGGTATAAGAGTGATCTGAATGTGTTCGGTTTCTGGAGAATTGTCCTGTTCACAACCGTCGGTGCATTTGCGTAGCATATTCCGAGCGCATTATATTCGAATTAATTAGTGCTCCCTGAATAACGCAGGGTACCAATAAGGTATGATGAGTGATTTTACTGTAGGCCAATATGTCATGGTGATTTGCAAAAAGGTTATTCGCGTCTAGTGTTTAACTAGCCTCGTTTGTGTTTAGTGTCACTTTAGCGATTGCGTGTATCTCGTGGGACCAAGTTGCACGCGAGTTATTGTGTGTTCCACGCGTGATCGTACGTGATTATACCTGTGTGGCCATTAACGATAGATTTCAACCTCATTAAGTACTTATTACGGATCGTAGTCCAAAACAATTTCGATGGTTCGTGTTTTGTCGATTGGATGGATTTGCAATTTACCAACTTTTTCAGACATATAAAACGGCTGTAAAAGTAATCATGTAGGCTAAACGTAGATCTACTTGTAATTCACTGAAATCTCTGTTCCTACCCCATGTAACGGCGGCTACTTTTAGTTTGTTGCGATTAATAGTTGAATCAATTTCAAAATAATTTCGATTTAAATCTCTTTTGTATCGTTTTTGTAATCGTTTGGGACATGGGATCATCGGCGCCGAACTCAATCTGCTATTGTCTATGAAATTGTCATTCGTTGATAAAGATTGCCTTGTTTGATAAAAGAGTCCCATGAATCGGGTTTATTTTGTACCTCGTTGAGTTCCACTGCGCTACCGTAAAACCACGCGATCCCATTATTGTTTCGTGCAAGAATGCCGAACACGCCCTCTCTGCCACCTGGAGTTTAATCGCAAGAAAATAACAGTCTTATAATAATTCCATCCCCTCGATTGTTGACGTTTCACTCTGCCATGGAAACCATTTTTTCATAATTTTAAATTTCCCGTTGGCTGTACTCACTCGTTATACTGTAATTGGGTGTTGAAAATGTCTATTGAGAAACATATTATTATGCCATTTTCAATCATAATATCTCAGTTACAAGTTTCTCTAGGCTTATTTGCTTGGAATGAAGTTTGAAAATAATGTTTTCAGTTCTTCATTTCGAGGTCATTTTGACTCGGATATTATTGATACATGAATAGTAGGCCTATATTAAGAATCTCATGATGATATTAATTAATATTCATATATTTAATGCTTGCGGTACACCACGAGATAGTTCTGAAAAGAATTGTTGTTTGTTAAGAATGTCTCGATATTTCGGCTGTTGCTTCAGTCGTCTTCTGAAGAATAATGTCTGCAGAGAATCCAAACAGGGAAATACTTATATGTTTGGATAGTGAGACTTGCTGCTGATTGGTGGACTAAACAATTATTATTTTATTTATTAAATTTGAAAAATTCTTTTATTTTAAAAAATGTATTGATATTACCTGTTGTCTGTCGCTGCCATCCGTTCTCAGCGGTTTGATGACCATGGTGGATTTAGCGTAGGCTAGGCCTATATCTTTCTCTACTGCATTTCACACACATTCCGCTCCTTAGATTTTTTGCACAAACATTGCCGTTATCATTCAACTTGTCCTTGAACTTCCCTCATATCATATCCTTGTAATTTCGCCTATTTTCCCTTGTAAATTCCCCTAGAATTTCTCAAAACGATTTCTTTTCTTTCCTTCATATTCTATTAGGGCCTATATGATATTGTATCATTGTAATTTTAACTGCCATTGTTATGGTTATCTTTAATCATTATTATAATGGCACAAGTAATCTGACGGGGGGGGGGGGGTACTTCTCCTTTATTATGACCGTCGCCGATGGAACTTTTCAATTTAGAAACTGACCAATCAGAACATGGCCAAAATTACGCGCATGTCTCACAAACACTACCTTACGTATCCGGGTACATGATGTCGTTTTTAGTAGGACCTCATCAACGATACCCAAGGGGCGGGACACAACAGAACGGTCCATTCCCTTAGGACATTACCTGTGAGACAATATTGAAATAATAATAATATAGTAATTAAAATAAACAGAAGAGCGGAAATACTAGGTCTAGAAGGCGAGACTCGGTTTGCGTTTGAGTTCTTTTGTCGGGATACTTTAATGCTTGATTAATTCAATCACTTAAAATTGTTTATATACCAACGAAATAAGCATAATAATGCAACAGATATGGGTGTGTGGATCTCCTCTATTCATTACTTCATGAAATGGGCCTTTAGGTAGTTAGGCAATCAAAACATTACAATTATCAATTGATCTCACGGCTAGTGTGTATAGCCATGGAGGTATACCTCCATGTATAGCAAGCAAGCAAACAGTAGAGCCACTCGGAGCGGAAGTAAAACAAGTGCAACATATGCGAACAGTTAAACACGACGAAAGGTTTAATACCGACAGGACACCAGGGACATGTCCTTTTGGAAGGGTTACTAACTATAAATCAAAGAGATTATCACGTTTGAGCGCCAAATTACTACTGTATATCATAGTATTAATTTAGTTTTCCTTTATATTATTATTCTGTGCTTTCTCATTCAATGTGTAGTCATTGTTGGCTGTTGATGGTTAACATAAACTATTGATACTATCGTGAAATGTTCATGGTCAAAGGATCGACAAATATAAACAAGTTTAATGTTTAAATTGATTTGTAAACACAACACAACCTCTAGAACTTGAAATCAACTCAAGGCAGATGCTTCAAAAAATATGTTGATTGATATTAAACCTCCGGACCTTGGTATTTTTGCCTATACATTCATCGTTAAAGTTGTCCTTCGACGACCGCAACTCAGACCAAGGAGGTCCCAAACGAACACCGCTTAATGTATGGGTCTAGAAAATAACAATCTGTTTTGGAACTGCAGCTTTAGTCTACTGTATGTGTACCCTACCTCATTTTTTAGAGTCAATTAAGTTTCAAGCAACTCGAGATTATACGAGATTTAAACTGAACTATTTGTAAGTTATTTACTGTATTGTCCATGGTATGGGACATGGTCTCTATACGATCCATGTAAACGGTGCAGTCGTGCATTAGTACGATACATTACAGGCCTTGTTTTTGTTGTTAATGGTCTTGTTTGGCATTGCAAATGCTAAAGAAAATGACCTGATCATGCAATGGTACAGTAAAACAGGGTGCTTCTCTATTGAGATCACCGCCTTTGATAATAATTTTAACTGTAGTTTTGGAAATAAATGTGTTTTAATATTTTTCTTCTCTTTTTGTTCTTCGTCGGTGAGTTGCTCTTTTTTTTTTCTTCTTTTTTTTTCTGTTTTCGTCAACAACCCGGTGACAAAGTCAATAGTTTGTATGCCAACGACCTTGTCTTTTTGGTGCCATTTGTTGGCCTAGGATTTGTAAACAATTTTTTTTTCTGTAGATTCGATCAAAAATTGTTAATTCGGTCATATATGGTCTGTGGTTCGGTGATTGTTGATTGAAGTTTGAACACTGGTGTAAAAAAAACTACTGAAGAATGCAAACGGTAGCACTTAGCGCGACCCTCAAACACAGACGTATTGTCAGTTGATGATAGATGGGCGGACATTCCGGGTCACCTGACTGGTCAGAGTGACCGCCAAGGGTCTAGCTGTCAAAGTCTCCGACAATGAAGAAAATTAGCAGTAGTATTTAACAACAAAAACATTAAACTGAACTTCCTAATCATGACTATCAACGTAGTTGTGTCGATGCCAAAATTATAGAGGGCGGCACAGCAGCACTGGAATTTTGCGTTCTTGTGGCACGAGCCTGCAGGGAACATTGTCTATTTTTGAAGTGCATTGTTTATTTTCTGGCATTAACTTAGCTATCAGTGAAAACTCCTATTGATCCTCGCATGCCACATGCAAAGAAAGTGGTCTTTCATACCCTTCGGCGGCATTTTGAGACCGTCCGTCACATGCTCACGGAGAAAAAATAGGTGCCTAATGGATTTTGCCATTTAAATCAATGTATGTAGTTCAAGGGGAATTTTTTTAATATCTCCTGAAACAAGTCCCCGGGCATCTCCCTATGAGTTGTATACCGGTAGACAATCCGAGCATAGGCCTATATATAAATGTGCATGGTATACCGATAGTCCGTTAACCGTGTTGAGATCAGAAGTTCACAAAAAATCATTAATTTAAGAGATATGCCGAGTGGTGTTACTCGTTCTTTATGGCCGCTACATCTCGTAAATTGAAGTGGACTTCACACACTGTCGATGACTGTTCAATTTGTTTCCCATTGTTATATGTCCTTCAAATCATGGCATGCAAATGTCTGTATGAAGAACATGATTCTCTTTGACGAACGTATTGTCGCACGTCCGAGTACTGTTGAATGTTGGGAGCCCATACTCATCCTCGACAATCTTCGGCCAGTTGTTTTCCATGCCGCCTTTTAACCTTCCCAGTTGATTTCAACATATAGTGAGGTACTGGTACTGTACAAAGACGCATGAGCTGAAATTTCACTCAATCCAATGCTTCCGCGCCACTTACCCCTGTGACGCATCAATAAGTAGGGTATAATAAAAGTACCGTAGAAATTTTACGTTAGGCCTGCATTTACTGTATTGATCAGTTTTCAGTTGTACCACCCATGTTTAAAACAATAATACCGTAAAACCTCGAATTGAAGCGCAGTGGGCTTAATCTCGAGATGAAGCCCATTTCAAATTGAAGCCCATGGGTTTCTTTTCAATATAGGCTTCTTTTCGAGATTGTAAAGTACATAGCCTACACTGTAGGCCTACATGAATTTCAGAATACAAAATAAATACAAGCT